CGAGGGAGCCACCATAATCTGCATCAGTGAAGGCTTGGACTGATAATTGCCCACCCTTCCTGAATATTATCCCTTGCCCTGGACTTCCTTTTAGGTAGTGAAGAACCCTGTAGGCTGCTTCTAGATGTGGTTTCCTTGGATCATGCATGAACTGACTCAAAACACTAACTGCATAGGCAATGTCAGGTCTAGTATGAGAGAGATAGATAAGTTTGCCACACAAGCGCTGATACATTGATGAATCAACCTTGGGTTCATCAGTAGCAAGTCCAAGCTTGTGATTAGGATCCATAGGTGCATTAACCGGTCGACAAGCACTCTTACCGGTCTCATTTAACAAATCTGTAATGTACTTTTGTTGGCTGATAAAGATGCCTTCAGATGAGCGAGCAACTTCAATTCCAAGAAAGTATTTTAGAGGGCCAAGAGACTTCATCTCGAATTTGGATTTCAGCTGCCCCTCAAGACGTTGTTTCTCAACTGGATCATTACCCGTCACAATGATGTCATCCACATATACCAAAAGAATAGTGACTCCATTTGGGCGAGAGTGTTTGTAAAAAAGAGTATGATCCCCTTGGCTTTGACTATACCCAGCAGCAAGAACAACCTGTGTGAAGCGGTCAAACCAAGCACGAGGGGATTGCTTGAGACCATAGAGGGCTTTTTTTAAATGACATACATGTGTAGAGGTTCTTGTTGATGTTTTATTAAAGCCTGGGGGAATGTACATGTAGATCTCATCATGCAAGTCACCGTGGAGAAAAGCATTCTTGACATCAAATTGCAATAAAGGCCAATCAAAGTGAGATGCCAAGGATAGTAGGATACGGACAGTATTGAGCTTAGCTACAGGAGCAAAGGTCTCTTGATAGTCAATCCCATACGTCTGAGTGTATCCTTTAGCCACAAGACGAGCTTTGTACCGCTCAAGAGATCCATCAGCCTTATATTTGACAGTAAAGATCCACCTGCAACCAACAACATGCCTCCCAGGAGGTTTAGTCACAATATCCCAAGTATGGTTCTTTTCAAGAGCTCTAATTTCCTCTTGCATAGCATCCCTCCATTCTTTCTTTCCTAATGCCTCAGAAACAGAGTTGGGTATGGGAATTTCATTAAGTCTCTGAACAAACAAGGCATGTGAAGGAGAGAAGTTATCAATGGTAACAAAATTAGCAAGAGGGTATAGAGGTGTTTTGGTACATTGACGTACACCCTTGCGTAAAGCAATTGGCGGAGATGGTGGTGGAGAAGAAGAGACATTACCTGGGTCAGCCAATTGGTCATGCGTCAACAATGGAGTGAACCTGTTTTTCCTTGAGTACACTTTTGTCACTGGTAGAGGAGAAGATGGGTCATGAGTGGTGGATTTAGTAGGTGTAGGAATGGGATGATCTGGTGGTGTATTTGATGGAGGTTCAGGTGATGTTGAAGACTGTTGGGAAGTAGGTGAGGTTGCGGACACATCTAAGGAAGGTGATGGATGATCATGTGGTGGTGGTGGTGATGGGATGTCTGGTGATAAAGGCTTAGGAGGGTAGGAGATTGTATGTGGTGGAGAAGATGTAATAGTATAGGTGGGCAGAGGTGAAGGATGTGGAGTATCTTGGGATACAGGGAGAGAAGTAGGAGTGTAAAAAGGTGTGTCTTCGTGAAAGGTCACATCTGCACTGGTGTATGTCTTTCTGGTTGTAGGATTATAGCACTTATATCCTTTCTGAGTTGGAGAATAACCAAGAAAGATACACTTAATAGATCGTGGGTCCAATTTTCCCCTATGAGGTGGAGGAATATGAACAAATGCAGTACACCCAAACACCCTTAGATCAAGATCAGAAGAAATTCTGGTTTGAGGAAAGAAATGACGGAGAGATTCAAGGGGTGACTTATTTTGGAGTACCCGACTGGGAATTTTATTGATGAGATGACATGCTGTGAGTGTGGCTTCCCCCAATAGTGTTTAGGCATATTTGATTGAAACAATAAAGCTCGACTGACGTCTAGGAGATGGCGATTTTTTCTTTCTGCTGTGCCATTCTGTTGTGGTGTGTACGGACAAGAGGACTCATGAACAATGCCTTTTGAGAGGAAATAAGAGGAAACGGTTTGATTGAAGTATTCAAGAGCATTATCAGTGCGGAAGCGTTTTATTGTGGCAGAGAACTGATTATGAATCATATTGCAAAAGATAGGAATGATGGAACTCACCTCACTCTTGTTTTTTAGCAGAAAAACCCACATAAAACGTGTACAATCATCAATAAATGTAACATACCACCGGGCACCAGATATATTAGCAATTGGAGCAGGACCCCAGACATCACTATGTATAATATCAAAAGGAGAACAACTGATTGTATTACTTCTGGAAAAAGATACACGAGACTGTTTAGCAAGTTCACAGACATCACATTGAAATGTAGAAACATCAATACTACTAAAAAGACTGGGAAACATGGTTTTTAGGACATGAAAAGAGGGATGACCAAGACGCTTGTGGTGAAGCCAAATAGTGTTGGTATTGGCTGTGATTGTGGTAAGAGCTTTTTGTGGAGGTTTGGAGACAAACAGTGCATCAAGGTAGTACAGGCCATCTCTTTGTTTAGCAATTCCAATCGTCCTCCCCGTGTGTAGATCCTGTAATAAACAGTGGGAAGGGAAAAAAATGGCAGCACAATTAAGATCAACTGTGAGTTTGTAAATAGAAGCAAGGTTCATAGCCAGGTTTGGGACATGTAGGGTGTTTTTCAGATTTAATTTTTCAGAAAAAACAACCGTACCAAGTCCCGCAACCTTTGTAGGTGTCCCATCAGCAGTAGTAATGTGCGTGGATGTAAAACATGGATGATAATTAGAGAGTAAAGAGGGTATGGCAGTCATATGAGATGTGGCACCTGAGTCTAATATCCATTGGGATTGTGAACTCTGTTCCGAAGCATTAAGACAAAAAATAGTAGAGGTTTTACCTTGCAGGGCCAAAGAGCTATGACCAGAACCATTTGAGTTATTAAGAGACTGTAACATCATACGAATTTGCTTTAATTCCTCCTGGGAAATGGGCCAAAGATTAGTAGAGCTCTCAACAATAGTGGGAGTGACTGAGTTGGCACGTCCAGCACTCATTCCACGTCTGTCTTGGCTTTTCCTTTCTTTCTGTAGATGAGGATAAAGTTTCCAGCATGTATCCACATTATGGTTGGACCGCTTGCAATGATCACACCATCTTCCTCCCTTACTACCCTTAGTTTCCTTAACATCTGAAGGAGTAGATTTGGCAGCAAGAGCTGTACTGTCAATCAGATTTGTATTCATCATTATATTGCGTCTGCTCTCTTCATGTTTGATAGTGGCAATGGCAGAAGATATGGAAGGCAGAGGAGTAATGCCAAGAATTTGACCCCGAGTCTGATCATATTCGGGATTTAAACCAGACAAGAAGCAATATAGACGTTGCTGATTTATATAGTTCTTGTGAAGAGCTGCATCTGCAGCATTCGACCACTTCATCGTTTGATACTGGTCAAGTTCAGACCATCGTCGTTGGAGGTCAGTTGCATAATCTGTGACAGATTGTGAATCTTGCTTAAGATTCGTTGTTTTGAGCCATAAGTCATAGACAAAAGCGCCATCTTTAGCAACAGAGTAGGACTGTTGTATGAAATCCCAGATTTCTTTAGCCGAGTCCATGTATAAACATGTACTGCTAATGTTGGGATCCATAGAGTCCCATAACCAGACCCGTACGTTGGCATTAGTTTTCTCCCAAATAGCAGCATCAATCTCTCCTTCTTCTGGGGTAGAGACAGTGAGATAATCTTCAAGATCTTTGCCACGTAGAAGAGTGTAAACCAGCTTTGACCACCCAAGATAGTTCCTGCCATTGAGACGGTAAGATGGCGGGATAGAAGGGAGATCAAATTTCTGGTTTCGAAGAGCAAACGCGGCTGCAGTAGCAGCTGAAACAATGGTTGAGTGATCAAGGTTACTTGAGGCTGATTCGGCTTCTTTAGACATGATAAAACCCTTGATGAAGAGACTCCACCGGGAGTTAAAGAGAGAGAAGGGTAGAGACACCCAAAAAATGGCCGTTGGAGAGGTGATAGACTGACTCAAAAAAGGCTTAGACGAAACCAAGCTCTGATACCATGAAGTTTTCTGAATATTATTTCCTTGAATACATTTACAAGAAGTACATAAGCTATTTATACAGATAGGAATCCTGAGAGAGTCTATTCAGCACCCTAGGTGACTGTCTAAATACTAAACATAAATGATTGAGAACTGAAAAGACAGCAGCTATTAAATACAACCTGAAGCACTAAAGATACATAATTACAGTAATAATAAGGAAAATAAATCCTAGATTAATGATGTCTCTTCGTTTTATCAACAGTTGTCAAAGGGGGGAGTAATGTTAGAGACCTAAATAATACTACTGATAAGAATAGTGTTATTCTTTTAATATTGTAATAAAAAAGGGGTTTAGGCCTTGAATTAGATAACATTGGGCTAGCACAAATGGAAAAGAATAAATAGGAGTTGGGGGAGTAGAATAGAGGGAGGCAGAACTTGAGGCTTGGGCTGGGATTTTGGGAGAGATAGGCAAGTGCCTGAGCTTGTATCGTTTCATTCCTGTTCTTCATTCACGTTCATAATAAACATCGATTTTCCTTCATTCGATCTTGGTATCTAACATAGCATCTGAATCACCAAAAGACTGAAGGAATTCCATCGGACACTTCCTTGAGGCATGAGAAGCGGACGCCTCTCAGACGCGCAAAAGGTGGCAATAAGCGCCGTATAAGGCGCACCTCTTGGAACCTACTACGCCTGGGGGTATATGATGCGATAAATAAATTTATCGCCTTAGGACGCCTCGCACAGTCGCACCTTTGCGCGCCTTTTTAAAACCAAGCCATGAACAACAAATTTGCATATCATATATATTAAATACGAAGTATATGACATTATAAATATGTAACAGAAAAACATATTACCTTTCCCAACACGACACAGCAATCGTTGATCATGTAGCGACTAGGAACATTATCTGTAGCATCTATGACAATGTCATATCTATTGATGGATTTGAGCTATGGAAATATAATATTTCTGCCCAATAGTGAACATACACGGATGTGAAACTAGAATATTTGAGCACATAGGACACCATGGTGTAATGAAAAAAGGATACTGGCTTGCAATCTTCAAAGCATTGGATGTGCGTAATGCTTCTTTGTGTTCAATGATTTGAATGGACGAGTTAATCCTACAAAATCAACCATAATTTAAGATGGTTAGTGGTAGCCTTTGAAACATCAAAAGAAATACACTGCCAAAGAGCAAAGAGCAAGGAATTTACGCGCGGCAAGCAGCAGCAGCAGACTCTACCTTAGAGCACCCAACATTTGCTTCGGTGTGTATTATCTGTGGCACAACATGCACAAAATGAATCAAATATGTTTTGCATTGAACTTCAATAAAAAATAAATCTAACAATTCTAATGATACAAATCCAATTCATAGCAGCTCACACCCCAAACAACAATACGGGACCATTACCAATACAATATCATTGAATAACAAAAAGTACTGTTTTCTTCTTAAGAAAGGAAACCGGATCAAATACCTGTCTCTGTAGATTATTAAGCTCAACAACATCATGATCGACTATGCCTATTCGGCCTATAATGTTTAGAAATGAAATGATAAAGTTTAAGAAACACTAACCCAAAATGGAATACAATCAATACATGTACCTGCACACATTGAAATGTATATACAGTAAATATTACCAACACCACAAGCTGCAAGATATAGCAAAGCAGGTGATCCTAGGCCTCCAGCCCCGATAACCAAAATTGAAGACTTCAATAGATTTGCCTGACCTAAAAAATGAAAAGAAAATATATATCAATAACAAAAAGCATTCATTTAATGACAGTTGTATAAACTGAAATTGAGAGCAAACCTTTGACGCCAAATGAAGGAAGCAACAAGTGACGACTGTATCTGTAGATATTATCAGGAGACAAATCATGATTGGAGCTTAACCTTGCATTTGATATTGACGGAAAACAAACGTGTGCATCACAACCGACACCATTCCAGGTGGTTTCATCATTTGCGCGGATTTGACTGAGTTGAGATTCAAGAACTGAGATCTGTTCTTCAATTCGTAGCTTGTCCGCCTTTAGTGACTCAAGTTCTCTCCAAATTTGTGATGCTTCAGCTCCATTACCCTCCATTTCTAGAAGCAGAGTGCAAAGTAGCGCCTATAGACACAAAAACTAAAATCAGAATATTCTTATGCATGATAAACATAAGCAACGGTTCTTACTGATTCCAGTTTATCTCGATGTAGTTCTAATCCAACTTTTAAAAACATTTCCTGTGCCGAGGCAGCCATACAACGTAAAGGGCTGTGCTATAATTGTGATGACCAATGGGTTCAAGGTCATCGTTGTATGAGGCTGTTCTTTGTGGAAATTGTGGAGGATGACCAATTCGAGGAGGATCACATGTCACAAACCAAGACCGAACCAACATTGTCACTCCATGCAATGACTGGATTCGGTCCGTCCTCAACTATGCAGATTCATGCTAAACTAATATCAAATCATTACTTGTAGAAAATATGAAAATTTAATATTAAAAAATGCAACCTACAATCAGGGCCGGTCCTGTACGTTTGAAGGCCTAGGGGCGAATATTAAAAATAGGCCTAACCTTAAAAAATTGTAAAATCCTTCTCTGCCTAAACTAGCATGCATAATAGAATATTTCAAGACTTTTAAAATAAATAAAAGACTTAAACATCAAATTAAAAATAGTAGAATCACAGTTTCAAAATAAATAAAAAGTTACTTAAATACATTTCTTGCTCAGCATTGTTTTGGTATCTAGATTCCCCCAATCAGCTGGATTGTAAATATCCAAAATCAAAGGACAATTAATTGAACTTGATACATTTGATCCATCCATATTATTTTTGGTTGCTCACTACCAATATTATCAATTTTTACATTTTCCCCTCCTATGACATTATCATTCTGAACCATTTCATTTTCTGTAGCTAAATCATTCTTTTTTCAGAGTTTTCGTCTTGAGGAGGGCATTCACGATTTGACTTCTTCACACAAATAAACTTTTCCATTGAACTTTTTTTTACTTAGGGCCGCTTTCTCTAATGTTTTTTTTTCTCGCATCCAGATTCAACCATTTTTATGACATCTTGAAATTAAAAAAATTATAAATATATTTATAATTAAAAAATTACCTAACAAAATCAACAAATTATATCAAACCAACACTCAATAGATGACAATAACAATTAAGAACTACACAAATCAACTAATTATTTATCAACTATTCATTTATGATTTATAAACTAATCCAATATCATATATTCATATTAATAATTAATACTCCATTCATCCCAATTTGATAGTCCCATTGCAGTTTACTATGTTTGGCCGACAATAAAGCAAAGTGATCCCTATCAACACTCTTTTGATAAAATTTTACGAAGTTGCAAAAAGAAAAAACAATTTTGATAAAAGTTAGATATATAAAATAAAATATTAAGACTAGTTTAAGTTCACCAGGTGGATAGGAACTGAGACTGTAGACGGAGGTAGTAAATCATTAGTAATGCACCATTTTCTAATTTCAAAGCCGAAAATATGATATATCAAGAAATCATGTAATAGAGTAATTTCTAGAATTGTATAGTAAAAATCTTAATTGTTAAATAAGATTGAATATGAAATTACAATCGGCAGATAGCAAATTAGCAATCCGTGTGGCTTGAGGAGACGAGATCACGAGGATTACCTGAAGAGCAGAAGAGTGAAGGTTGAACGAAGTGAACCTGAACTACTGAAGCGGTGAGGCAGAGTGAGGAGACGCAGTCCGGCAGTCGGTTCCTTCTGCCTTGGCGAAGGGGGGTTCGGGGTTAGTGGAAAGCTGAACGGCTATTTGTTGTACTACCCACTTTATACCCACTTTGCGAAGGTTTTTTAGTAGTGAATAGGATTCAAAGACAAAAACTTTTACAAATAAGTGGCATATAAGATTTTTTATTTGCCATAACTTGCACCTTTCCTGCTTTTAGCTTTGAAAAAGGCAAAACAAAAAAAACTTTTGCAAATACCAACTTCTACAAGTTTAAACATATTTTGCAAATACACTTTTTTCAGTCTCATATCTGATCAGACTAGATCAAATCAAACTAGATCAGACTAGATTTCCATAGTTATAAAATACACAGAGACCAGACGTTTACAATACCAGACCAGATTAGAGCAGCAAATTTCAATAAAAAAAAAACATGATTAAGCCAAACGCTGAAAGAGTGGAGATCTTTAATTTGCTATTGGGTTGTTAGTAAGTAAATCCAACATTCAGGGTAACTCTAATCCCAAAAACATAGACCATTCCAAAAGTACCCCCTGCGGCTTGAGGGGTGGATCTAAATTTGCATGGACAGATGACCGAAATTGAATTCAATCACATCCTCCCGTACGGTTCTCAAAGAGCTTCACAGTTTGACTTCACACAGATTAAAAAAATAAATTTGACTTTACTGTGGAGTGCACTGTTTGGACACTGTTTGGCACTGTTTGACACTGTTTGACAATGTTTTGCACTGTTTTGGTGTAGATAATTTGCCAAATAAGGAAATAAGAAAAAGTGTGAAGTTAATTTCGGGACTTTCCGAAAAGGAAAGTGGGAAGTTGTTTGAGAACCGGAGGTAGGCCTGTCAATGGGTCGGGTCCAGACCCAAACCCGACCCGGATCCGTCTTTTTTAATGGGTATGGGTCTACATTTAATTCCGTTACCCGGACCCGGATCCGGACCCGTTATTTAATGGGTCGGGTATGGTATATGTAGTTCCGACCCGTTTAGGACCCAACCCGTTAATATTTATTTATATATACATTAGTCTAATATACATACTCCCTCTGTCCCGAATTAAATTGCAAACTTTGACCGGCACAAAGATTAAGGAATGACAATAAATGGTGTTTGCTTTTTACACTTTTGCCCATCTTTCTAAAAGTAGATGCCTTTAAGTTAATGAGGAAAAAGTAAAAGTAAGGGTAAATTTGTCACTTTATTCTTATTTACATACTTAAAGTAGAAAGTGGAAAACCATTTTGGGACAACCAAAATAGAAAATTCTGCAAATCAAATTGGGACGGAGGGAGTATTACATTAGCTGCCGCCCACCTTACGATTTAGTTTAATAAATCCGAAGAAGGATCCCTAGAGACCATAGAGTCCGCACACCGCAGAGGATTCAAGAAAAAGCCTATCCAGTTTCCAAAGTCATTAATTTTACTCTTTATTATAACACCGTATCTTGCAAACCATAAACCAACTCAAAATTGTTGCGTTTGATTGAGTAATTACAGACAAGTAATTACAGTTCATGTGCCATATTGTTGCCAGAAAAGTACTCGGTAGTAAGAGGTTCTATTTTTTTAAAAGAAATTAGAATTGGATTTTCGTGAGACGGGTCGGGTCTACTCGACCCAGTTCCGAGACCCAATGGGTATGGATCCGGAACATTAGTTCTAGACCCGCCGGGTATATGGGTCGGGTCTGGAACCCTATAGAGGCGAACGGGTCCGGGTCTGAGATACTACGTTCCGGCCCGTACCCGACCCATTGACAGGTCTAACCGGAGGGAGTATGTTATTTAATGACAAAATGACAATTAAAGAATATTACAGAAATGTCGAAGAAAGATAAATGAATATTACGGAATCGACAATTTAATTATATTAAAAGTCATAGATATCGAATCAAAATTGGCTCATTTACTAATATGGTCAGTATCAATTTTGAGGTCAATTTCTCGGGAACCACTTTTCTTTTGACTCTATAGCCTATTCTCTAAGTAAAAAAATAAACTAATTCAATTTCACCCACCAAAGGCACCAAGCACAATGAATTCGACTCACTAATTGTTCAGGCCAACATTTAAAACACCAATGAATTGAACTAAATAAATTTTCAAGCCAATATTCAAAAACTCAATGAATTGAACTTATTAATATTTTCGGCTAATATTCAAAAGACCAATGATTTGAACAAATTAATTTTTCAGACTAATATTCAAAAGTCCAACGTATAAAACTGATGGAGATTGAGTTTAAATAGATACGTTTAAAGAAAAAATCCTTCGATTCTTCTTGTGCGAGAACAAAGAAAAATTGAAAATTTTAAAAAACCAAATTGGAAAAATTAATAGGTTGCAAGGAAAAGGATTCGAAATCAGAACCTCAGGTTGCACTGCACGCTCAATCTACTTCCACCGCGCCAACATAATTGATGTTTATTTACAATACGACGTTAGCTAATATTATACATATCTGTTGGGGAAATTTCTTCTCCTGCAATGAGCAGCCCATAAACTGGTTCAACGTCATCCCTACTTGTTGATTATTTAGTTTTGTTGATGACTAACCTTAAATGAAACAAGAGAGAAAACTATTCTTTGGCCTAAAAGGGATGTCACTATTTAACTAACCACGCAGGTGGACCTCTGGATAGAACTACTGCTTGGAACGAACTTAGTTCCGGTCTATATGAATGATTGTCGTGCTTGATAAACTTATTAATTGATATATGCCTGCATCTATGTAACTAGGTTGTTATATCACACGTGGCACATCTCTCATGCATGACTAGGCATTTCTTTAATGACTTAACCTATATATGTGTCACATAAAGAAGTGCTTTGCCCCCTTTATGATAATTGACCGTAACAAAAAGAATAACCTGTCCATTCCATAAAGGTTAACCGAAGACTCATTTGGTAAGGATATTATTGTAGCTCGATTCAAATTGATTGCATGAATATTTTATTTGCTACTTAATATTCTTTGCATAAGTAAATCTTTATTTCCTTATATGATCATGAGTCAATTTACTCATGATTGAACGAATAAGAGAGAAGCTACCAGAAGGAAAGTAATTCAAAATAACAAGGCAAGTCCATCAAGGCTCTAAGGAAAGAAGGATCAACGGACATCTGCCAGCCTATATATAGCCGAAGACTAAGAGAAGAAGGGGGGTGCTTGACCGAGCAATCACAGAGAAAAATACTTACAAAGAATTACCAAGTCCAAGGCCCCTGAACCTGCTCACGAAGTTTTAGATATAGTTTCTTTTCCCTTCTTTATCTTGTAACTAGATTTTGAGGAAAAGCTAAAGTGTAGCTTCCTCGGGTGGGGGGCGTGTGTGTGAGAGCTTTGTTTCCTCGGGTGGGGGGCGTGTGTGTGAGAGCTTTGTTGTAATGCTGAGAGGCTCTGTACCCACAAGGTAGAGATGCATAACTCTTCCTAGATAGGATAGAGTTGGGGTGGATCAAGGCTAGATTAGGAGAATTTACCTTGTAACCACAAAAGGCTTTTTAGTGAAGTTGTTTAAAATTCCTCCGAGGGAGGTCAAGGGTTTTTAATCCCTTTGAGCCAAGGGATTTTTCCTCGTTAAATACTTGTGCACTTTAGTATTTCGCATTTCCCTGAACCCCACATTAGAACTGTGCAAAAACTATCATAGTTTCACACACACACAATTCACCCCCCTCTTGTGTTACTAACCGTTTCATCAATTGGTATCAGAGCCGGTCTTCACCACATAAAGGGTAAAACCTTGGGAAGAGATCTGGCAGTATGAATACGGTTGAACGATTGAAAGAAGGGTACTCGACTCAACGACCACCGTTGTTCAATGGCAAATTTTATCAATTCTTGAAGAGTCGAATGAAAAACTTTATCAAGGCCGAGAACTACCAGGTATGGAATGTAATTGAGGTAGGCGACAATATCATCACTAAGGAGGATGCCAAAGGTAAGGTTATCCCTAAACCCAAATCTGAATATACTACTGATGATTATCGTAAACTCGAGCATAATGCACAAGCATTAAAATATTTGATTTGTGGACTTGGTCCGGCTGAACACAATTTCGTGTTCGAGGATGCAAATCCGCAAAACAAATGTGGGATTTACTCGAGGTTACACATGAAGGTACCTCGCGTGTAAAAAGATCCAAAATTGACATATTTATGCGTAATTACGAATTGTTCGTGATGAAGCCTAAAGAGTCAATTAGGGATATGATTACACATTTTACTAACATTATAAATGAGCTTTCAACACTTGGAAAAGATATTTCTGTGGAAGATCAGGTAAGAAAAGTTATGAGAAGCTTGCCCTCACCATGGAAGCGTAAAACTACGGTAATAGAGGAAGCTAAAGATCTCTCCACCATGACACTAGAGGACTTGACCGGTTCACGACATATGAGTTGGGTCTACAAGAAGAACAAGATGTTGAGAATGTGAGGAAGGAGCGAGGAATAGCTCTCAAGGCTCGAGAGGAAGAAGAGGAACCCGAAAGTGAATCGAAAGACGAGATGAGCATGTTTGCCAAGCAATTCGGGAAGATGTACCGGAAATTCAAAGGCAACCGGAATAAGCAAGGTAAAAAGAGTTTTCAATCTTTTAATAACCAAGGTTGTTTTGTTTGTGGGTCCTTTGAGCACAGGGCAAAAGATTGTCCCCAAAAGAAGAATGACCGAACCTACGACAAGAACAAGACCAGTTCCCACCAAAGGTCCAGTGAAGACAAAGGGTTCAACAGAGACCTCAAGAAGGAAATGATGGCAGCCTGGGGAGACTCATCCGATGATGACGAGGAAGAAGGTGAAAAGAGCTCCAATCATGCGGACTTATGTCTTATGGCTAATTCCGACGAGGAATCTGACCAAGAGAAATTTGAGGTAAATTTGGAAAACTTTTTATCTAAGTTTGATTCTTTGCCTAAAACCAAAGTTTAGAAAAATTTTAAAAGGCTAACTATCGAGCTTAATCAAAATCTTTTTGAAAATGAGAATCTAAAATCACAAATCACTGAGCTTGAATCTAAACTCGAGGAAACCACACGAGCAAAGCTAAGGCTTGAAACTAAAGTGGGAGAGTTAATAGATGAGAAGCTTAAATACAGTGAAGTGGTTTTAGAACAATACTGATGGATAGTGTACCCGGGGGTAGCTTAAGGGGGGTATAATGTGACACTCCAAAA